TCCAAAAGCAGCACAAGGAAAGACTGAAACATGAAGAAAGACTGCAGAAGTTTAGAGAGGAGGAAGAAAGGAGGTAAAAAGAAAAAAAATCCCAGCCTTCCCAGATATGGAACTATAACAACATAAACTATATTGAAACTATAAACTAGACTTAAAAGCATAAAAGAAAAAGAAGCCTTGAAAGTTTCATTATCTGAAATGACCTATTTAATACAATTATAGGCAACAGGAGAGCAGACTGCTACAGCTGTTGGAAGAAACTAAAGGAACCTTTGAGGCCCAAAGGGTCTACCTGAAAGAACAACTAACACAGGTACTATCTGGAGAAAAGAGAAGATGAGGGGGTTCTGACTGTTCCAGGGTAGAAGCTGCTCTGAAATTTTTATTTCCTCTTTGTACCTGTTGGAGCAGTAGCATAGCATGGAAACAACAGTCCTTCAGCACCGATCCCTTCCTACAGATCTTCTAATTCTGAAGGATTCTAAAAGGCTTTACAGCTTGCAATAGATCTTTACCCTGTCAACAAAACATGGTCCCTTTGCAGTGATACACAGCAGTCATTCTGTACCAGTAGTCATTCCACCCAGAGAATATGAACCCAAGTATCAGCATGGAAAAATATTTCTTTGCTTGCTCCCCTCTAGCATTACAGCAGAATTTGTAGGGAGCTTTGCCTTCTATACCATTGCTGATAAACTAGATGTCAAACAACTTTTGCCATTTCACAAGGCGACTCATGGACTTCTACCATTTCAAATGATCTCTTTCAGGAGAAACAGCTGCGCTATGAAATGCAGAAGGCAGCAGAGGCCCAGATAAGTGGGCTGGAAGATGAAATCAAAAAGCTCCAGGAGCAGCAAAGGGTAATCATAACACTGAGTTTGTTAAAAATAAGCAAAAATGGACCTTGCTCCTTGCTATAGGCTCATAAGATTTCATTGCAAACTCTCAAGACTGCTTAGAAATGATTCTGCAAATAGATTTTATAGCCTGTTTCTCCTTTCCCACCATCATCAGATACTTTGGAATTAAAACAGCATCCTTCACTAACGAGATTTTTGTTGCTCCCCACCTCACCTTTTAATCCCATGTTATATTGTGGCCATTTCCACAGTAAACAGATTTTTATTGTTCTGCTAAAAGTGGTGACATTTGCTAACTGTTTGGGCTGTTCCAATCTGCACCTGTGTCTTTTGTGTTGCCTTGAATACAAATGGGGAGGATACACATAAATTAAATGAGCCTGGTGCAGCAGCTACAGTAGAAGGTTGGGAATTCAGTGCTTCTCAATCTTGTTTTGTCTTACAGTGCAACTTTTGGCACATCCTAGAACTCCTTTGTGTCTGCAAGGCCAGGATAATAATAATTATGTATAGCACAGTCCACTGGAGGTATGCAGTTTGATGTTCACAAAGTACTTTAATATACCTGGGTGAAAAGCCTTACAGAAGACTGCTTTGTAATAACATGCAAATTCATGCTCTTTCAACAACATTGCCAAAGGCAGGCTAGACCTGGCAGAGGTAGCTCAAGAGATTGTACATTTACTATGTTGGTGAGACACATGGAGGGGAAGGAATGCAAGTATCTTTTGTATGAACCACTTCATCTGGTAGTCAAAAGCTGATTTTTCTCAGCCTTGACATAAGCCTTTGGGGAGAGACTTTATGAAGCCTGATCTCTAAAATACATTTTAAAACAAAACTTCTATTGTTTTTCTATTGTCTTTTCTGTTTCTCTTGTAGCCTTCCATGGATGATACATGCTCTGTGGGAAGGTAAAACACCTTACAGTATGTCACCAAAGAGAATATTCCTGGAAGAGAAGTGATCTTAGCCAAAACACCCGCCCCATGACCTTTCATAATTGTTCTGTAATGCACCAGAGTGCTAATACTGACAAAAATCTCAGCTGCCCTCCCTCTTTTGGCAAAATACAGTGTGCACAATATGTGAACCATTTCAGTCAGCTGTTACTAGAAAAATTTTAGAAATAGAAATTCTAGAAGTATGTTATGTAAAGGAAGGGAGGATCCCTTGAAGTGACATAGTAGTTACCAGCCCTCTTTCAAACTGCAAACCCCGGGTAGAAACGTTGTTGAAATGGAACGTGCCTGTGTAATACATGAGAGAAAGGACCTTTCCTCTCTTACAGCCTCATAGCACCTGCACCTTCACGGCAGTCACTGACCCCTTTGCATCCTTCACCTTCCCCACTACAACCAGCACCTCCTAAAGGTTAGTGTACGTTACACGTTCACATACTCCTATCACATACATCATACAGACTTTGATGGAGACAGAGGATTCCCCAACAGAAAAAAAATATCAGCTTTTACTTTTATATTGATGATACCCCACATTCCAGTTTGCACCATTTCCAACTAAAAATTGGGCTTCCTCCAACATCACTTACCACTTGCCTGGAGGAGTTTGCTTTAGAAGACAGTCCACTAGGGACTGACAGTGCTGCATAATTACCTGGGGAACTCATTGCCACAGACTTATTCATTAAGCCAAGAGCTTGTTGCAGTTATTTAAAAAGGAGCAGGTATGTGTATAGATAATGAGATCATCCAGACTTACATGAGGCAGAGTAAAAGAATATATGAAATATAAACCTTCATGGTTCATGATATCAACCAGCCACTAATTGACTAGCAGCTTGTTACACTACCTGTTGGAGAGTTTCATAGAAATCTTTTTTTCACCAGGGTTGAGTCTCATTATTTAGCTCTCAAAAAATTAAAACAAACTTATTCCTGATTTGGAGGAGGTGATGGTCTCCATTTTGCCCTCTCATATAGTTACAAGTAGGATGTCCACAAACATAGAAATTCATGGGAAAACAGCAACAACGGTGACGCTGGATTTGCTTGAACAGATAATGCAGGCTGCAAATGCAAGTAAGTGTTTCCTGAGAAGCTTGGAATCAAGCAGTCTCCTAAATACCTTGCGATTATTCATGTGAATTCTCATTTTAACAATACAATGTAATTGTCTGAAATGATGACTATAATGTTTTGTGTATTGGGACATCATAAAGAAGGGTTACTTACTGGCAATCTGATGTTTATGTGTATTGTTTCCATGCAGAACTAATCTTCACAGCAGTGGTTGTAGCAGCCGTGGTCCCACGCACACTTATGTGCATGTTAAAACTATAAAAATAATTCTTCAGCATGGGCGTTAGGTACATCACTGCTTCTGACAAATCCTGTAAAGGTCACTATACTGAAATAAAAGAGACTGACTTTTTAAACTACTTACTCCATTGAAACTTAGGATAATAAGCATTTTATGCGGCTAATGTTTTAATACGACTGCTATATAAACGCCACACTGAATGACTGAATTTTGGAATTTGGAAGTGCAACCTCTTAGGGAGGGATTTGGTATAATGCACTTGTGGAATCTTTGAAATGTTCTGTTGTTACTGGTGACAACAAGTATCAGATTTAAAAAAAAAATTTTTTTTTTTTAAATCAGTTATTAGTAATTATATTTTCATGTCAGGATGGGGCCTGATCCTTTAAAATTACAAAGTTCCATCTAATACCAGCATTACATAGTGGTCTCCAAAGGCTCCATAATTTGTAGTTTTCAGGGTCAGTCTGCTCCTAATTTGGGTATCTACTGTCTATCTTTAATCTACATACATGCTTCTATTGTCATAGGAATAATCAGGTTACTATAGTACATTGACAAAAAAAAAAAGCTACCTGGAGATATCTTTGCTGTTATAGCTGTGTTGACTTCTGACTGGCTAACCAGGGGATGGGTTTAAAGTAGAGGATGTTTTCCCCAACTGTTTGCATGTTGGTGTGAGATTTTGATACTGAGCAGTGCTCAAAAGAAAAAAGCCGCCTGGTTGTCCAAAATAGCACTTCCGCAAGTTCTCCATTCCCAGCAGCATCTCTGAAGCATATTCCAGAGGAACCATTAATATCATCAGACTGAGAGAAAAATTGCACTTTTCCAAATGAAAGCAATTTTTTGCTTGAATTAGCCTTTTTGTCTGTATATTTACATCCTGTTGAATGAATACTGCAATGAAAAAGCAAACAATGAACAAAACAAACACCAGAGGTAGGTTTTTTTTGTATAAAGTAGCACTTGTGTAGCAGTAGTGCCATCCTGTGGCTAACATTGAAATTGCTTCTAAGAAACTAGCCCTCTCCTTGTCAAGTCAGGCCTCTTTTCGTCGGCTATCCGGTACCACGTAAGCCAGTACAGTCTGTTGCACGGTCAGGTTGTCAGCGACTAAGCCAGCACCCCCACCTAGGCTAGCCTGGGTGAGGATGGTGTGCGGACACCCGGCAGGACTGAAAACAAGACCTGTCAAAGGGCAGATGAGTTCCCTGTGAGCCAACGACCACCCATACTTGGAGAGGAGATGGGCACCATCAGGTCACTTTGCCAGAAGAATCACCAGTGATGCAAAGCAACTCAACCAACCTGAGGGGGCTGTTACAGCATCTAAGATGCCCTTATGGTCATAGCGGCCTTAGGACTGACTTGACTTGAAGAAACTGATTCCAAGAGGAGATATCCAGGCATACATATGATTAGCCAAAGGCAATCACAGATATGCTATGAGAATAGTTTCCAATTACTTATTATTGGTAATTTCTTAGTGGTTATGACATCTTGTCTAGTTTGAAAAGACAAGTACCAAATAGTTTGTCAAACATGCACTTCTATTTCATAAGTGTAATTTAAAATTGTTCAAAAGTTTGCTATCTAAGTTTGCCCAGCATTTAACAGCAACTTGTTTTGAACTTTCAGTCGCTAATGGACATAATGCAGCTGAGCAAGGCTCTCTGAATGCAGCTACTAGAGAACACCTTTGGAACTACAGCCAGGATTGCAAGAATGCAGAGGTATTTCAGATGCTTACTTCCCATTCTCTGTCGTCTTAGAGCCTTTGGGATGTAGGTTCATTGCAGCAATGAAGAACGCTGCTTTCACATTGTTTTATACATGTCTTCTGCAAAAAATGAAGTGATTTAGCCTTTCAGTAATCGTATCATGTCACTCAGACCTGGTCTGTTCAAGAGTTGCACCTGTTTGACTCAAGGGGTTTTAAAACTGATTTAGCTAAATCTATTTAAAACTTAAAAAAGACTTTAAAAAAAAAAAATCAATTTAAACCTGATTTACAGTGGTTTAACTTGCACCTGTAAATTCACAGGTGCGAACTAAACCAGCAGGAGCATTTCTAACCCCATATAACTGCCCCCATGCAGGGATTAACAAAATTTTAACTAGATAATTTTTAAGTGAAACTTGGGCAATTTACATGTGCAGACAAATCCACGGAGTAAATGAGTCCTGAAAGAGTTTAAGTGGGCTGTCCTATAGAGGATGGACTAACTATCTGGGGACTGCAGGGAAGGACTCACTAACGTAAGGTTTCAAAACAGAGATTTAAGGAAAATGCAGTGTAAATACCACAGTGGAAAAGAGGAAAGGAAATAAAATGTAGACACTGATATCAAGGAAGTGTACCACACGAAGGCCCATGCAGCAAAGTAACAGTGTAAGGTTGTTTTAACTTTTCATGTTACTAATACTTTTAACAATTTTGCATAATGGGAATAATGATTGAAGGGAGAATTAATGAGAATCAATTCCCTTTAAACCAACAGGGCCATTAGTGTACAAGAAGAGATAGGGCTGCTATTTTTAAGAACATGGTTAAGAACCATACTACTATCAAAATTTTAAATGTACATTTTGGAGCAATTACAGAAATAGTAAAAAAAAAAAAAAAAAAATCACATACACATCAAGGCTGTTTCACCACGCAACTCTTTGCAGGTGCCATTTTGAATTTGATGTAATGTATTAAGAAAACAATACCATTTCTAACACAAGAACTGTTTTCTCCCCCGCTTTTCTGGTTTTTTTTTTTCCCCTCCCCCCTTGTTAACAGATTGAAGTATTTGGTCACCACATAAGCAGTGAAGATATAGAAAAAATTCCAGAATCCAGAAGAAAGGAACTGAAAAAGAAATTAACTGGCACTATCAGAAGAAACACAGAGGCCCGTCACAAAGCCCAACTTGCAGTAGTGAAAGGGATGTTACCAGAGTCTGTCATCTATATGTGACATGAGTACTTGAAATTTAAGGATTAATACAAATCCCAGAACATTCATAGTTACATTTCAGTCTGATAATTCATTGTACCGTACTGGTGGGCTCTAAAGATAATTAATCATTTATTTAGGGGGCGGGCTGATGTCTCTGGTCATCTGGTGCCTGCTATTGTAAAACCATTTTCAGTTCCTTATAATTTTGCATACGTGTATAATTTTCAAGGCCTAACAGAAGTTGCAGACACAGGCTTTTTGATAGGAATCTCCTACCAATGTAGCCATTATAGCTAATACTGCTGAATGTAGTAAAACAGCTGCATCATAATGCTTAGCTGTTGCATAGTATTTCTCACCGATAGGTTATCAAAAAGCTTTAACAAGGAAATACATCATTCCCATTCTACTTACAGTGCAGAGATGGTGAAGTGGTCAGTCCAGGTCCACACAGCAAGTCAGGTACAAGAGCAGGGAATATTAAATTCAGGTTTTATTGGAATACCATTAGTGCAAAACAGATTCTGTGTAGGACTCCGTTGGTGTAGCATACTATTCCTATAACAAGTAAACCTTCCTACCAGACATAGCAAGTAATTAGTACTGCTAGCTCCAATAAGGAAACTGACATTTTAGAAGACAATGTATTCAGGCTGCCCGCACTCTAGGGTTATGCAGCTGCTTTAAGAATGGCAGCAGTGTTACAGCTACTAGGCCTCTGCCATAGATGCAAGCACTGCCAGCAGTTTTTGATACCCGAGCTATATTTGTTAAAAGCTGACTTTTTCCACATCCCTCACAAGCCTAAGGGCTTATTTTAGAATACTCCATTTTAAATCTAATGTTCAAGGCATGTTATCTTCAAGGAAGCCACTTGTGAAATATGATAAAATCTAACGCGTGAAAGCTTCATTTCAAGGAATACTTCAGCCTCATTCAGTCTTTGACTAATGGCCAGAATTTGAAATATTATGCCTAACAGGCGATAACCCACTGGCCCAACTTAACTTCCTGCTCTCATGCAATTATATGAGAGTTTTTATGGAAAGGACTTTAAGTAACTTAACCGGTTATAAATGTTTGACATAGAACCCAGTTACAAGGTTAAATGAGGTCAAACTCTTTTGCATACTTAGAAAAAAATATCCAGTTATATGAAAACAGTTAAATGATTAAGCTCCCTTTAACCAACATGGGGAAATACAGGTAAACTAATCTGATAGAACGCTCAAGACATTCCCTACCTCCCAGGCCAGAAATCTTACATTTTAGGAACACGTTTGGGATGTTTTCATGTTTTTAACTTATGGAAAGGTTAAATGCAGACTAACCCTATGGCTATTTGAGCTTTGGATCAGTTTGAACTCTGCCTACACATCATTATGCTCATGTTGATGAAAATACCACTTGCTGCAAGTTCCTTAGAATAGGTAGGCTAACAGTTGCCATCTGGCAATAGGCAAAACACCCAACTTACTTTTTGTATTCTCCTGTTTGCATTATCTTCACATTAAGGGTCCCCCCGCCCCCATGGCTATTGGGGGAAAAAAAGTGCACCCCCCACTCCCTCCCCTCCAGAAAGCCTACCTAGATTTGTGTTGAGCATTAACAAACAGCAATACTCAAATTAATTTACTATTGTTCCATAGGTAGACTACATCACCAACTTCTGTTCCTTTCCTATAATCCTTTCTGCCCTTTCAAAAAACATTTTGAGAGCTGGATGCATCAAATCTAGAGAATGGCAGGCAGTAAAAGCTACTGACACTGACTAAAAGAGGATGTTTCATTTCCTTGGCAGTGGGAACATTCTATTATGAACACTCCTTCTTTATGCACTACCAGAGTAAAAATTTAAACTCTGCTGTCTTGGATGTAAAAAGGCATATTAAAGATGCCTTTTGGTTCCCTAGTCATGACAGCCTATAGCAAGTTTGCTAGTAAGGATCTTGCTTAGCAGTTAAACAAGGTGGAATGAATCGTTTCTTGCCCTCTCCATTCTCCCTTCCACTTTCCCTCCCATCTGCCCCCCCTCCCCCAAGAGAGAACATCAAGTTCCCATCAATTGTTCATGAACATTTATTTTCACCATTATACAATAAGACAAAACACTTGCAACAACCAATCTTTATTAGCTTGACACAAACTTCAGCAGTAACTTAAGCTTGCATTTAACTTACAATATTAAGACATGGAAGAACTACAACGCAAAACACAAATGATATTGCAGAACCCTGTAGGGCAAGATACACAGTAACTAACAACCACCCCTGAGACGCAGCACCAGATGCAGGGTGGATTCCTTCTGGATGTTGTAGTCGGACAGGGTGCGGCCATCTTCTAGCTGCTTGCCGGCAAAGATCAGCCTCTGCTGGTCAGGGGGAATGCCTTCTTTGTCCTGGATCTTAGCCTTCACATTCTCAATGGTGTCACTGGGCTCAACCTCGAGGGTGATGGTCTTGCCAGTCAGGGTCTTCACAAAGATCTGCATGCCGCCCCTGAGACGCAGCACCAGATGCAGGGTGGATTCCTTCTGGATGTTGTAGTCGGACAGGGTGCGGCCATCTTCTAGCTGCTTGCCAGCAAAGATCAGCCTCTGCTGGTCAGGGGGAATGCCTTCTTTGTCCTGGATCTTAGCCTTCACGTTCTCAATGGTGTCACTGGGCTCAACCTCGAGGGTGATGGTCTTGCCGGTCAGAGTCTTCACGAAGATCTGCATGCCGCCCCTGAGACGCAGCACCAGGTGCAGGGTGGATTCCTTCTGGATGTTGTAGTCAGACAGGGTGCGGCCATCTTCTAGCTGCTTGCCGGCAAAGATCAGCCTCTGCTGGTCAGGGGGAATGCCTTCTTTGTCCTGGATCTTAGCCTTCACATTCTCAATGGTGTCACTGGGCTCAACCTCGAGGGTGATGGTCTTGCCGGTCAGGGTCTTCACGAAGATCTGCATGTTGAACTGTAGCGAGAGAATCACAAGCCTTCCTGTTAGCTCACTCAGAAAAAGAGGCTACGCAATGAGTAGTTCCTTCTTATCAGCTGCGCTTTACATGCCGTTTTGAACAGAAAAAACCCCTCAAGGAACTGCTTTTTTTTCCCTGCGTAAAACTGACGACCCCCCCATTTTTATTTTTTAACTTCCTCAGCCCCCCAAACCGCACCTTTCATTACAGCGTTCAGCCCCAAACCTGATTTCTCTCTCAAGAGGCATTTTTCCTAAAGCTTCCTCATGGCCCCCACCCGCATCCGGCCG